AGCGCACTGACGTCACCGCGCACGTTGCGCGCGCGATCACGTGCTGTCGCCGCCGCCCTGCGTGCGCGCTCTGTCCCGGCTCGGGAGCGAGCAAGCTGCGCAGAGGTAACTCCGGAGGTGGAGAGAGTGCAGGGGTCCGACGCGCAGGGTTTGAGGTAATCTCTCGGGCTGCTGGAAGGGACCCAGAAGATCTAATGAGGGCGATCCCTCAGACAGAGAGAGGGGTCCCCACAGACTGAGAAAAGGGCCCCACAGACCTTGCAGACTAGAGAGGGGGCCCCGCAGACCGAGGGAGGGAGCTGAGGGAGACCCACGACTGGAGGCTGCGCCTGAAAGAGAAGATCTGAAGATTGAGACAGGCGTCCAGAATTTTACGGAGGATATTGTTGATAGACCCTCGGAGAGAGGGAGGACGACGCAGAGATCCCGAGGACAGATGGAAGGGACCGGGAAGAGACTCCTGTCTGAGGGAGGCCGCCTGAGTGAAAGCTGAGCGCCGGAGACGGTGGTGCCGGGATGAAGGCGAGAGCTACGGTGGGGGCGCTGGGGTGGAGGTGAAGTGAAGGAAAGGAGGTAAGAGAAGGCTGTCACCAGGCGGAGACGGCACCTTTCTTAGCTGGTCCCTAGGATCTGAAGATCGAAAAGCGCTGGTCTCCGAGCCCAGGGCACTCTCATCCTTAAGATTCAACCCCTAAGTCAACTCCTTCCAGTACGGGCTTAGTCTAGATGTGTGACCCCTGGACAATCACAGACCCCTTCTGGGGCTTACAAAGAAAACATCCACCCAAAGCACAGAAAGGCTTTTGGGATCTGTAAAGGGAGGCTAGGCTTAGGTCTCTTGCAACTTAATGTGACGATTCTGTGAAATTTCTCAAACCTGGAAACAACCACCGCCTCTCCCGCGTTTGCCTTTATCTTCACTCTCGTCATTTTTAGTCCCATCTTTTAAAAAATAGATGGGGTTGTAGCTTCATAGTAAAACGCTCGCCCAGCAAGCACACCCTCCAGCACCACCAAAAGAGAGAGAGGGGGGAGAAGAAGGAAAGAAAAGAAAGCAAACTAACTCCACTCCAAAAATTCTAGCAGGCCACTGTGGTGGCGCATCCCGTTTATCCCAGCAATTTATTTATAACCCCAGCAACTGGGGAGGCTGCAGCAGGAGGATGGAAAGGCCAGCCTCAGCAGTTTAGCTAGAACCTAAGCAAATTAGTGGGATCCTGTCTCAAACATTAAGGGAAGGGGGTGTGGCTCAGTAAAGCACCACTGGGTTCAATTCCCAGGTCAAAAGTTTTTTAAAATAAAATTTAAAAATTCTAGGTAGTATAGATTTTCCTCGTGACTTGTTATTTTAGAATACATTGATATGACTGGATAACATTAAAATGAATTGCTTTTTGCTGGGCATGCTGTCACATCCTAATGCCTGAATAAACTAAGACAGGAGAATGCAGGGTTGAGGCCAGCCTGGGGGATTTACCAAGATCCTGTCTTTTTTTTTTTAATTTTGTAGATATTTTTTTTTTAAAGAGAGAGTGAGAGAGAGAATCTTTTAATATTCACTTTTTAGTTTTTAGCGGACACAACATCTTTGTACATGCTGCCAAGGATCGAACCTGGGCCGCAGGCATGCCAGGCGAGCGTGCTACCACTGGACCACATCCCCAGCCCAAGATTCTGTCTTAAAATAAAAAATAAAAAAAGAGTTAGGGATGTGTCCTCATTACCAACATTTTTTTTAAAAAAATTATACACACATACATATATATAACTTTCTACTGTGTTATTTGTTCATGATTAACCAAGGGCAATCATAAGTTAATGATGAGTTCTAAGAAGCAAACTAAAAACTAAATTTCACCTTTATTTATTTATTTATGTGAGTGTGTGTGTGTGTGTGTGTGTGTGTGTGTGTGTGTGTGTGTGT